CATCTAGCGTAATTGGTTGCATTACTGAATCGTACCAAGCTTTTAGAATGCGATCTTTTGGCTAGTATTTTTCAGACCATAGATTCTCTATTTCAGCACTATCTTCTTTCTTATTTATGAACTGATTCTGGAAATGTGACCAAACTTCTTCCAGAACTTCTGCCAGGCTAGTTAAAAGATTCGTTGACTCCTGGTTTTGTGTATATACTCTATCTAAAACTACTTTGCAGTAGGGTCGCTCTAACAGGCTAGCTAATCAAATAAATTTTTTATATAAATTTTGCATACTAATAAATTTTATATATTATAACTACATATTATAAAATTTAGATAAAAATTTTAATATAAATTTTATATATTAATGATTTTACATATATAATTCTATAATATTTGTTTATTATATAAAACTTAAAATTTAATATAAATTTTAAAGAAAGAATTAGTCAATATCTCAAAATTTTACTAAGATAACCCTCTATTGCATTACTAATAAAAAATGGTTTTCTCATAATTTTATCCTAATCCTAATTCTAACTCTAACTATAACTTTTATTTTATTCTAGCAGTTTATTTATTTGACTACTAAACGTGTTAGTTAAATTTTAGATAACTAATAAATAAATATTATTTATAATTATATTTATATATAAATTATAACTATATAAGTCTATATTGGGTTTATAGATTTATTTATAATTTTAAATATAATTTATACAAAATTTCTATATAGCTTTATATAAAAATATACTTGCTGATGTCAATCTAACAATATATATATTTTAATATACTTTATTTAAAAAAAAATCATTGCAAATTAAATTACTCCAATACAATATTGACTTTAAAAGATATTAAAAAATTGGTTTTTCAACAGGCTTGCTTACTAAAACTAGTTCAAGAGTTAACAAGTATGAAAAAATAAAAAAATAAAACTTTAAAAACAAACATTGTGATTAGGCAATATTTTTATTTGCATTTATTGGTTTTAAAGATTTTGATAATTCAAAAACCGACTTGTATAAATAGCTTGTTTATGTGTCTAATACTTGAGTCGTATTGATGTGACTTGATTTGAATCTTTTCTCAAGTTTTTCATCACGAAGTTATAAAAGTTATAATTATCTAGCTGATTAACCCATAGTTAATTAACCAAAAAAAGGTTGTTAAATAGGGGCTTCGTTAAACATTACAATAAATATGCAGTATAAACATCAAGATATTTATATTATTTGATGTTTAACCTCTAAATACCATAGCATGCTATATGCATATATACATTAAAACTAAAAATATACAATATATTTATTATTATTTTTTTTTAATAACAAACAACACTAAAAATAATTTATTTATAATAATAATATTTAATATTATAACTAAAGCTTTATATTTATTATTCAAATTCGGGTAAATATTCAAATAGATATTTGCCAATTTAAATTATTTAAATACTGTATTATTCGAATAAAGAATCCATAAACTCTAATTATAACAGACATTTTTAAAATTCATATTATCAACTTAATACATAAAAATTGCATAACAACTATAAAGTCCTTCAAATAAACTAATTGCAAGTTATACTACACAAAAACAGATAATAAAACCAAAATAACAACCCTTCACCTTGAACGAAGTTCTTAAATATGACCTACTAAGAAAACATTAGTTAAATAAATACATATCAAAAAAAAACTTCCACTAATATGAACAAAAACTACATACCGTATTTTCGCAAAATAATGCACAAGGGCATTATTTAGGATTTTTCCCTGAATTAAGCTTAATTCGAGCCAATTTTCAAAAACCCAAGGGATATATAATAGTGTTATCAAATAGGAAACACACGATGAATGATAAACCGAGGAACATTACCTGGAAAGAAATATGCTAGCTAAATATATTCGTTTGCTAAAATAGCAAAAAAAAAGCTATCAGTGATTAAATATGAAAAATTACATATCAACAGCGAAAGCGACACGAGACATATGCTAAACCCTAGAGACGTTACCTGGAAGGAAGTTAACCATATTCATTGATTAAACAGAAAAAAAATTACTAGCGATTATATGTAAACAAAATATATATCAATAGCCACACTAAAAGAGCGATACGAGATGAATGCTAAACCTTAGAAATGTTAACTGGAGGGAAGTTAACCATATTCATTGATTAAACAGAAAAAAAATTACCAGCGATTATATGTGAACAAAATATATGTCAACAACCGCATCAAAAGAGTGACACGAGATAAATGCTAAACCTTAGGGACGTTAACTGGAAGGAAGTTAACCATATTCATTGATTAAACAGAAAAAAAATTACCAGCGATTATATGTGAACAAAATATATGTCAACAGCCGCACCAAAAGAGTGACACGAGACGAACGCTAAACTCTAGGGACGTTACCTGGATGGAAGTTAGCCATATTCATTGATTAAACAAAAAAAACCACCAGAGATTAAATATGAACAAAATATATGTCAACAGCCGCACCAAAAAAGCGATACGAGACGTATGCTAAACCCTAGGAACGTTACCTGGAAGGAAGTTAACCATATTCATTGATTAAACAGAATAAAAATTACTAGCAATTATATGTGAACAAAATATATGTCAACAGCCGTACCAAAAGAGCGATACGAGACGAATGCTAAACCTTAGGGACGTTAACTGGAGGGAAGTTAACCATATTCATTGATTAAACAGAAAAAAATTACTAGCAATTATATGTGAACAAAGTATATGTCAACAGCCGCACCAAAAGAATGACACGAGACGAATGCTAAACCTTAGGGACGTTAACTGAAAGGAAGTTAACCATATTCATTGATTAAACAGAAAAAAAATTACTAGCGATTATATGTAAACAAAATATATGTCAACAGCCACACCAAAAGAGTGACATGAGACGAACACTAAACCCTAAGGGACATTACCTGAATGGAAGTTAGCCATATTCATTAATTAAACAAAAAAAAACTACCAGAGATTAAATATGAACAAAATATATGTCAACAACCATACCAAAAAAGCGATACGAGATGTATGCTAAACCCTAGGAATGTTACCTGGAAGGAAGTTAACTATATTCGTTAATTAAACAGAAAAAAAATTACCAGCGATTATATGTGAACAAAATATATGTCAATAGCCACATCAAAAAAGTGATACGAAACATATGCTAAATCCTAGGGACGTTACCTGAAAGGAAGTTAACTATATCCATTGATTAAACAGAAAAAAAATTACTAGCAATTATATGTGAACAAAATATATGTCAACAGCCGCACCAAAAGAGCGACACAAGATGAATGCTAAACCCTAGGGATGTTACCTAGATGGAAGTTAGCCATATTCATTGATTAAACAAAAAAAAACCACCAGAGATTAAATATGAACAAAATATATGTCAACAGCGTACCAAAAAAGTGACACGAGATGAATGCTAAACCCTAGGGACGTTACCTGGAAGGAAGTTAACCATATTCATTGATTAAACAGAAAAAAAATTACCAGTGATTATATGTAAACAAAATATATATCAACAGCCACACCAAAAAACAATACGAGACATATGCTAAACCCTAGGGATGTTACCTGGAAGGAAGTTAACCATATTCATTGATTAAACAGCAAAAATTACCAGCGATTATATGTGAACAAAATATATGTCAACAGCCGCACCAAAAGAGTGACACAAGACGAACGCTAAACCCTAGGGACATTACCTGGATGGAAGTTAGCCATATTCATTGATTAAACAAAAAAAAACCACCAGAGATTAAATATGAACAAAATATATGTCAATAGCACACCAAAAAAGCAACACAAGACGAATGCTAAACCCTAGGGACGTTACCTGGAAGGAAGTTAACCATATTCATTGATTAAACAGAAAAAAAATTACTAGCGATTATATATAAACAAAATATATATCAACAGCTGCACCAAAAAAGCGATATAAGACGTATGCTAAACCCTAGGGATGTTACCTAGAAGAAAGTTAACCATATTCATTGATTAAACAGTAAAAATTACTAGCGATTATATGTGAACAAAATATATGTCAACAGCCACACCAAAAGAGTGACATGAAATGAATGCTAAACCCTAGAGACGTTACCTGGATGGAAGTTAGCCATATTCATTGATTAAACAAAAAAAAACTACCAGAGATTAAATATGAACAAAATATATATCAACAGCCGCACCAAGAGTGACACAAGACGAATTAGCCATATTCATTAATTAAACAGCAAAAAAATTACCAGCGATTATATGTGAACAAAATATATGTCAACAGTGACACAAAGAAAGGAAGTTAAACATATTCATTGACTAAAACAGTGAAAAAATCACCAGCGATTAAATATATATATCAACAGAGACACCAAAAAGTAACACGAGACAAATGTTAAACCTACTGAAAGAATATGTGTTAGCCAGCGATTAAATGCGAACAAAATACATAACAACAATGACACCAAAAAGAAACAAGGCTAAACTCGAAAGATATTACTTGAAAAGAAAGAACTACCAGAGATTAAATAGTTTAATCTTATCAGCTTCTAAAATTTGTTATTTTGATTTCATTATATTTCGAATTCACTTCATTTAACCAACGTATGATTCCATAAAATGCTCTTTGTCTGGCCGAAATCTCAGTCATGATAACTTCGAGACTGTAAATATCTGATATGGCTGACTCATCAAAACCTCAGGCACTAAATTCTAAGATCAGAACAAAAACAATGTGTAACATGATGATATGTGCTTTATATACTATATATATATTATATATATAGTATACGATAACATGCAAAATTTAACATATACGTATTGTAATAGTTTTTCTGTATTACATATGTAGCAAGTTGTAGAATTACAACTAAATTTAGTGTATTTGGAATAAAAACTAATCCGTAATCGCTTTTACCAGGAACAAACTAAGTAGTTATAAGAAATTGACCACAACAATTCTATATTACCTGTCCAATCAATAATCTTTAGGATCATTATAACTATTATCGTCATAATTGTGACACATAGAAGGAGTGCCAGAATGTGAAATATTAGAATGGCAGTCAGAATGATTTTCGTATTCTTCTAAGTGTTGCTCGTCATTATTCTATATTATCAAAGAATAAAAAATTAATAAATAGAAAAAAAAAGGCTAGAAACTTAACAAATAGAATACTTTAACTACTTACATCTTCAGCATTATCATTGGACTCTTGGACATTATTAACTTGTTTAGAAAGCGCTTCTATTCGGGAATAGATTTCTCCATCTGTAAAAGAGGTAGTCGTGATTGTAGAGTCAAACATCATATCAATCACCACAATAGCAAATTCTTGATTGAGCTTTGAACGACGACTTCTAAATACTTCAGTCATAATACAACATATATATGTATCACAAGGATCAGCATCTTCTGATAGATCAACAGGCTTCCATAGTTTAAACTTTGCTTCTAACATTGCTGTGCTGGTTTTCCATGTTAAGACTTCTTGCTTAGAAGCCTTCTGCCCAGGAATATCTCCTATAGCCACTTTGCCAAGTACATTGACCATCGTTGTCTTTATTTTTCGTATATCGTTGGCTCATCTGACACGATATTGTTGGTGGGCCTATAGAATAACCATAAATTAAAATATTTGTAACAGATTTTACAATAAGAAAGATATCTTACATCAAATTAAACAACTTCTTTCCAATATTTATTCTATCCTCCTTGAGAATTTTCAACTTGACTCATTTTCTCATAATAATTGTTTTTGAGCTTATCATAGCACATACTTTTTATTACTAGATCACTTGTATTCTTATCAATTTCAAGCAGCTCAAACATCACATCGGCCACATCCTCCTATATTAAAAAAAATTATCTTTAGATTAAACAAGTCAACGATCATATGCAAGACAAACTACATATTTACCAAAAACCGTTTCTTAGTTCTCTTTGTTGTCATATCATCATTATTGTCATTAGTGCCAGTTATAATTTGAACAAGGTTTTGTATTGATTCTTCAACACGAGATATTGCGTTTTTAGTTTTACAGGCAAGCTCGAGGCTATTCATTGCATATTGCATTGCATTCTGGAGCGTGAGACGATCTTCGTTGGCCAACCTTATAACTATATCAAGAATTAATTAGATGTTATACAGATCTGTATTTGCATAAAGTTAGATACTAATTACCATTATCTGTATTTTCATATAAATGCTTTAAAGGAATAGAAGAAATAGTATATTTATAAGGTGACTGTTGTAGTTGTTTTTCATATGCTAAACTACTTTCTGATTCATTTTACAATAATAGAAAAATTAATAAATATTAATAGAAAAATAAATATCAAAAAGTCATTGGTTAAATTACCCTAAAAGTGTAGTCGTAGTTGTGTTCACTAAAAGACTGTAAAGAGCTATGAGGCTGCAATAATCAAATACAGTATATTAAAAATTAAAATATTAAATAGACTATAATTAAATAGAAATTGTGTTAAACAAGTAATATTATAAATACTTTAAGTATATTACTTTGCTGACTAATAGCAGGTTGTTGATTTTTAGATTAAGATTGTGGAGGATTATTGGCTTGTGATAGTTCTTTTGCACGCGATGGCAATGAATATAATGTCTTAGGACGAAACTAAATAATTAATGTATAAAATATAAATACTGAATAGAAGCATTGTATTAAAATAGAGATTAAATTAATTATGTCAAAAGTCACCTTTGACATATCTGGTTGACTACGAGAGGATGATGAGTATACTGACGTTGGAGCAAGTGTTTCTAAAGCATCATCAGCTTGGTTTCCTGGAGATTCGTTAGATTTAATTTTATTTCTGCCACGGCGCATGTTTTGAAAGAAGTGTATAAATGAAAAATGAAAGGCTATAACCAAAAAAATGAAATCGACTTCATAAAGAAAATATCTATTTATATGATCAGTAAAGTATCATCGCATTACATCATTGCATAATACTACTAACAAAACTCCGCTAAGAACATATATATTAATGTAAAACATATATTAGTTAATCTCTTTTTTTTTTTTTTTTTTTTTTTTTTTTTAGTGCTATTACTATGTTTAAGAATATTGAGAAAAAAAGAAAAAGAACCAGAGTGGATGAAGTTCCGGAAAGAGAGAAGAAAGGTGTCATTATTTGTCATTATTGTTCTCAATCTTTTACATGAAGAAATTGTTATCGAAATCATTTAACAAAACATAAAGATATAGTTTATGCGGAAGAAAACCAACTTCAAATGCTTTTGAAAGAAACTAGAGTCTTGACAAACACTCAGTCTGTAAGAGAACGAACACCTCTATCTAGTATTATTTATAGCAATGCTAATGAAGCCGATGGAAATTATAGAACTAGTGAAACTAGTAATTATATAAATGAAACTAGTGAAATTAATCTTGAACATGTTCAACAAGACTGAGACGATACAGAGATATTTGAGGTTGTATATGCTATTACGATTTTATGTAATACGGGCTGGTTGTATAGAATTTTTTTTTAAATAAGAAAATTTTGATTTTTCTGAAAACATATATTTTACAGTGTTTTTTTTTTTTTTAAAGTATTCCAAGTACTCGGCTTACTATTATTACTTTATCTAATTATAGAATGAAGTATGGAAAATTAATATTGAGGAAAATTCTCCAATAATCGATATACGCTCTGCACAACGTTTGTGTGCAACTACTGTATATCGACCTCCAACATTTCCACATCCAGCATATGCACAATTTATAGAAATAGTGATGAAATATCATCTACCAAATAGTGTAGATAATGAACTTATCAGTTGGTTTAATAAATACAAAATGAACCCACATGCTGTTCTGCCTACCAATATGAAGCAAGGTCACACATTGCTCGATTCAATGAATATTTCACACATATTATATACCAAGACAGTTATCATGAAGCATAATGGTACTAAATAAGTGCTACATTACAGACCACTCTTCGATGCAATTAAAGAGCTATTAAGCAATCCTGATATATTTAAACATTGTATTTTTGACTATACATCAAGATTTATCACCAATGACAAAGGCGAATTTAAACATTGCTATGAGGAGCAGTTTAGTGGAAGGTGGTGGGGTCAGGCCCAGGCATCGATTAACAGATATACAAAAATTATATCTATTATTCTTTATTCGGATGCCACGACATGTGATGTATTAGGAAAAGTATCTGAACACCTGGTGTATCTAACGTTAGGAAATATTCCCATTTGGCGTCACAATAAACCTGATGCTAAAGCATTAGTAGCATATCTACCAACTTTAAAGTGCTCTGAAGATCAAAAAAAAACACTACAACCTGCCTTGTTTAAATATCAACTTTTTCATCGCTCAATAGAAATTCTTTTTGAACCAATAAAATCAAAATCTACAAGTGGTGTTGAATTATATACGGATGGTGGCCTATTTTGGTGTTATCCATTTTTGTCACAGATATTGAGTGATCTGTCTGAACATTTGACTATGACATTGACATACAACTCAGTAAACTGCAATATGCCATGCCATTTTTGCTTAACTCCCAAAGAACAATTTAATAACTCATTGATTAATTCTGAATCTATTATTTTACATATACCAAAAACAATGAAATGGGTAATTAAGCAAAATCAGGCCAAAGAATATTCAATACAAGACATGGAAAATCCTTTTTGAAGTCTTCCGTATGTATTAATATACATAGTATTGGTATACTGTATATCGATATATATATTTATATTAATACTATATATACTGTATATATTAATATGTATACTGTATATAAATAATAACTATATATATTATTAATATCTACTTAATTGTATTTTTTAGAAATTTTAATGTTTATCAATTATGCTTACCTGATCGGATGCACCATCTTGATTTAGGTTTATATAATTATCAAATAACATTTACACAAGATTTGTTAAAGGAATGGTGTGGGCTAGCCGGAATTGCAGAATTTGATATCAGGTTAGCAAAAATCCTGTGATTTCCAGATCTCAAATTGTTTAACAAGGGGTTAGGCAACATTAAACGGTTCACTGCAACAGAGTTTCATGCAATGATGCAACAACTAGTTTTTGTGATTGATGGAATAATTGTTAAGCTTCATAAAGATATTTATACTACGAATCAGGCTAAGAATATGAACAAACAACTAGTAACCTTGTACATTGATTGGAATCAAATGTATATTTTTTCGCAGAAAGATGAATTTAGCGAATCAGAATTGCATATATTTAAGGTATATACGTATATACGTACGTTTATAAAATACAGTATATATGCATAATTAAATAAAATTTCTCATTCTGTAGTCTTTAATTACAAGATGGGCTAAAGGATTTATTAAACTCTTTTCAACATTTTCTAAATCTAATTTACAACTTCCAAAATTGCACAATTGAACATGTCATATAATTTCTTCAATCAGAGAATTTGGTACAATTAATAGTTTTTTTACTGAAACATATGAGTCTTTGCACAAAGAATGTGTCAAAAATCTTTACCGAATGAGTAATAGACGAACACCAGTTGATCAAATGTTAAAAACTGTATATAGATTATTTATTTTAAGAATAATTTATTTAAAAATAAACTAAAAATAGTTATTATTAATTTAGGTATGGCGTCAATATATTCTTAAATACTTGAATCAACTAAAGAAGCTGATAACAAGCAATAATAAATTACCCCGTATTTTTTAACCAGTAATCATACAAGATTTGAATTATCATTATTTAAAGATTTTGTAAATTCATACAATGCAACACATCAGCCGGCTTTAGAAGTTTTGGACGCTCTAAACCATTTTCTACCAGCATTACATGAATTTTTGAACCTTTGTGAAGATTTAACAAGCACAAATATACAAAATAGAACAATATTTGTTGATTGGTACAATTCAGCCATGAGCGCAAATAGAGATACAATTCGGACAATGTCTAACTATTACAATAATACACAGTTTGATAATGTTTCAATTAATATGAATATCGAAGAAGTGGAGCAATATAATACTGATAATAGTGCATGTTTTGCGAAGGTATTATGATTATTATTATATTTTGTACATATCACAAAATTTGATATGTTCAATATTAACTTATCGTTTATAATATTAGGTTTTAATTCTTTGTTCAATAAGCATTTCAGAATTAGAAAACCCATTTGATTTAGCTCTTGTTTGCTAGTATGATTTCAAATATCTGAATCTTTCAAATAAGTTGTATAAATATTGTTGTTCTTGGATACAATTTACAAATATTTATACATTTGTTCCGGTCGAATCTCTGATAGAATTAGTTCACGTAGTGCCATGTTTCGATAGTATTAATGAATATATTCATTTTTTAATAGTAGTATAAGAAATTCAAATGTAGGTGATTTTCACTATTTAGCATTAAAATATATCAGATAGCAATATTGCTATTTATTGATAATATTTTTACTTAAGATATTTTGAATTTAATAAATTTTTTTCATATTTTTTGTATTCAGCTCCTTTTAAAACTAACGCTATATCACAATTTTTCAATAAACTATTTCTATATCTCTTAGCCTCGTCTTGTTTGGCCTTAATTCAACATTCGTCATATTGCAGAATTTAGAAATACTTGTCAGTTACAATCTTCATTAAGTCTTTGATTAGTTGCTACTGTTTTCTGAAGATAAAAAACAGAAAAATAGTTGAAATATAGGTAGAAAACTAATAAAAGGGCTAAATTATTATCATATTAATATCACATCTACCGTATGCTACTGCCTACAGTACCCAGGATCTTATTCAAGAATTCTATTTTTAAAATTGAAGAACCGGGTACTATATCTGGGGGATATATATTAAAAGTAGTAAATCATTATAGTTATACCCCGGATCTTATTCAAGAAACAGTTAATCATGGGAGTATTATTTTTTGGGAATAGCGTAAGCAGTGGTATACAGAAGACTTTGAATCTAAAGATACAACAATTACAATTTCAATACTTAATTACTTGGAACTCTTAGACAGGAAAGATTAAGGAATGAGTTAGAAAAGATATACATATATGAGTAAGTAAAGTCATCATAGATACGTATAAGCACACTCATATTACCTTTATATCCTAACAACGTATTGAATAACTATAGATGAAATCCATGAGACAGAGTATAAAGGTCTGGTGAAATAAATTAGAAAGAATGAAATAGTTTGGTGAAACTGGTTTGAATTGGTGAAATTAGTAAAAATAATTTCACTAGCATTTCTAGTAGGGTACGTATCCACTTATGATGGTGGCACTGAAGTAATATAAAGTACTTATCGATTAATGCGGCGTAATAATTATTTACATGCGTAAACTGGATTGTATTAGCTTTTTCTTGAAAATAGGTTAGGGCGAAAGAATGTTTCTATGTAAATATAAAACATGATTTATTTGTACGTACGTACATATGTAAAAAAAAAAGTGATACTTGAAATGAGCAAAGCGGGCTAGGAGATATACCGTAGAAAAAAATAGATTAGACTTGAAAAATTCACGTGAAACAAGGCCAAGAGCCATATTTATCAAAAATATATATTTAGACAAAGCTGTTTGCATGTGCAAGTGTAACAAAAACATTTATAATTCAAGTGGGTTTTAAATTTTAAAGAGATTTTTATAGTTATCACGAAGTTGTATAAAATATTTAATATATAACAGGTTATTTAACTAAAATGTTAAATATCTAGTTGTATATTGTGTTGATTATTATTAAAAATACGATATTTATTCTTTTAAATTAAACAATGGGTTGATTATTGATTTTTAAACTTCCTAATGTTAATTTCTTTAATTTGCCTATATAATTTGGTTTTTACGTCTATCAAATCTCTAAAAAATTGGTTCAATGCATTGGCTAGTTCATAAGCAGTTGGTCAGTTTTGAGTTTCAGTATCTAAGCATTTGTTCATTAAATCCAAAAGTAGTTGAGGAACCTCACATTTAATTTCAGGTCTATGGCCTAAGCAAATATTTCTTACTAAATTTTCATCATGTGGAATATCATAATATGGTAGATGTTTAGTAAATATTTCTGACATGATAATTCCAAAAGAATAAATATCTGATTTTTGAGTGTACTCTTTCCTGCTCATATATAATATCTCTGGAGCAATGTAAGGAATTACACCAAAAATTCCTTTAGTGCTTGAATTTTGTGACACTGGCTTATATAGTCTGAAATCAGTAATGTAAGAAAGAACTATATTTTTGTTAACTATATTTCTGGGATGAAAATCTTTATGTATTAAATTAGCTTGGTGGATTGTATTAAGCCCATTAGCTATGTAATATAAGATAACTATTTTAAAACCCCAATTTAAATCATTATATTTGCTATTCAATAATTTTCAGAGACTTCTTTGCTTTGCGAATTCCATAACCATCATATAATTATCATCATTTGAATTTTTAATTATTCCATAAATTTCAATTGTTGACTGACCTCCATGTTTATTTTGATTTTTAATCTAAATCATTAAGATAAATAAGTCTTGAATAATAATAATAATAATAATAATAATAAGTTATATAATTATTTTATTTAAAAATTCTTTTTTTATATCTTTAGAATTATTAAGGCCTTTTAAACAAACATCTATTTGTGCATCTCGTTTCCAAATATTTTTTTGGCTATCAAATTTGCAAATAAATCAATCAGCCCATTCTGCTTTAAAAACAGTGTCAAAGCCTCCTTTAGCAAGATACTTTATATTTGTAAATTTACTAAAAGGTATCCACTCAATGATATCTTTATATCTCTCTGCACCAAGTTGAGTTTGTTTAACAAATTCATCAATGTCAGGATTGTCACTTGTCCAATTATGAAATTTTTTTCGAAACCTTAACATTGATTGAATAATAAGTATAATAATTAAAAGCTATAATTTAAAAACAACAAATACATACTGTCTATCATTAGTATATTGATTTGTATAAAATTTTACTGTAATGTAAAAAAATACTTACTCGCTATATTGACAAACAAAATATTTGGATTAACATTTGTTAGGGTATTTACTCATATGCGATTCTATAAAGAACTTACTAACTGTATTGACAAACAAAATATTTGATATACTCCAATTTCTGGATTTGTTAATAACTTTTGATTCACTGATCTGTTTTTGATTGTTTAACTACCAAAATGTTCGTCTCGATAGAACGATTCTAACAAGCCTAAAATTGTCAAAATCCAATCATAGGGTCCCGAGATCATTGGACTTTGTGCAATTTTAATTAAAATTGCTAAGTAAATAACTTTATTGAATACTTTTGATCCAATGGTCCATCTTTAAAAATTTAACCACCAAAATGTTCGTTTCAATGAGAGAATTCCAGCAAGCCTAAAATTATTAAAATCTAATCACAGGTCTCAAGATAGTTAAAGATTTATATAGTGCAGACAATTAATAATCAAATTGGTTTAATATATAAAACCAATTTGCTCATTAATTGTTTACATGATACAAATCTCGGGATCTTAATGATTTTGGGCTTGTTAGAATCCACTTACTGAGAAGAGCATTTTTGTAGTTAAATTACCCAAAACAGACAAATGAATTAAAAGTTATTCCATAATAAAGGTATTTCTTAATAGTTTTAAAAATTACTATTAAAATTACATAAAAGTCCAACGACCTCAGGGCCCTGTAATTAGATTTTAATAATTTGC